TGAGAGCTCTCACCCCGCTCCCACCCTGCCCAATCTCCTCGGCATTCAGCTGACATAGCCAGACCTGTCCACTTGCTTGGTGATGGCAAGCTCCTCCTAGGGTCGACCCCCTCCGGAGCACTCTGGGCTCACCCCTAGGCAAGCCTGCTCCTCAGGGTGGGATTGGGGAGGAAGACTGCCAGCCCCCCTGCACGCGTTGCCTCCTCTGTCCCGACAGCAGTGGGGGACTTCCTTCTGGCCATACTGCGTCCTGCCCTGTGGAAGACCAACCCAGAAGGCAATCGTCCACCCAAGGCGACATGGGAGAGAAGACGTGGGTATGGAAGGCCCCAGCCCTGTCACTGTTCTCCACTGGGGGACCCCACCACCTTCCAAGGTTCTCTCCCAGCTTCCGTGTTGGTTCTGGAGACCCAGGCACCGTTCTTGTGCCAGAGGCATTTCTACGTTTGAAAAACCATGCAGCAGCCCATGCTGGTGGCCAACTGGCTAAGAAACCTGCCCACCAGGCCCCTCTCAGGGAGCACGGCCTCCAAGTGCCCACTGCTGCCTGACCCAGGGCGCTTCAGAACAAGAGGCAAACGCTTACGGAGGCAAGCCAGGATGTCTTCAGGGCTTCTGACATCTGTGAGTGAAGCCGGGCCACCAGAGGCTGATCTTGCCCTCACCTCCCATTTGCCTCCAAAGAATGCGCTGAGAAGCTCCCACCCACCCAGGAGCGCAGGGCCCCTCTGGAATCTTGTACCCGAGGCATTTCTTAGAGTCGAGCACTAAAACCTTTACTTCTCCTGAGGAACAGATAGGTGTTCTTTCTGCTGATGAGGAATATATTCACTGACTCCTTTCCCCTTCCTGTTTTTTTTTTAATTTTTAATTTTATATTGAAGTATAGGTGATTAACAATGTTGTGGTAGTTTCAGGTGAATAGCAAAGGGACTCAGTCCTACATATACATGTATCCATGCTCCCCCAAACTCCCCTCTCACCCATATTGCCAGGTAACATTGAACAGAGTTCCCTGTGCTATACAGTACATCCTTGTTACCCATTTTAAATATACAGCAGTGTGTACATGTCCATCCCAAACTCCCTATCACTTCCCCCCACATCCTTACCCCTGGCAACTACAACTCTGTTCTCTAAGTCTGTGAGTCTTTTTCTGTTTTGTAAATAAGTTCATTTGTATCACTTCTTTTTAGATCCCACATATAAGTGATAGAATATGATATGTGTCTTTGACTTACTTCACTCACTCTGACAATCTCCAGGTCCATCCATGTTGCCACAAATGGCATTATTTCATTCTTTCTAATGAATCCTTTCCCTTTTCGTTCAGAGCCAAGACTGAGCTGCAATCCCAGCACATACCTAGAGAGACTCGTAGCCTGCACATCCTGACTTACCATTAGGTATTATTTACCTTTTTACCTGCCTATTTATTTAGGTCCTCATTAGCTGATTGTTAAAAAAAAAAAAAAAGCAAGCTTCTTTCAGAGATCCATGAAACAGGAAAGGAAAACAAGAATAAACAAAGGAATTCACTGTTTGTACTTCTCTGGACATGCATTTTAATTTTAAGCTATATTTTACCATTTTATTTTATCTGCTTCTGTTATATATCAACTCAGTTCCACTGTGGAATGAGGTTGGCTATATAGAAACGTACAAAAAATAAAACACATAAAGTCTGTGAACTGTGACTTTGTGAGTAATTCCATAAAACACCAAGACATATACTTATGGCTGATTCATACTGTAAGGCAGAAACCAACACAACATTGTTAAGCAATTATCCTCCAATTTAAAAAATTTAAATCTATTCATTTTGAACTATCTATTCATAGTTCAAAAAAACACCAATACGTTCTACACATGACCATTCATTATGTTCAGCCTTAATGAAAGTCAAGGTCCATCAATCAATGGAAGCATCCTTGATTTGCTGATCAAGAAGCTGATCATGTATGGATGTGAGAGTTGGACCATACAGAAGGCTGAGCGCCGAAGAATTGATGCTTTTGAACTATGGTGCTGAAGAAGACTCTTGAGAGTCCCTTGGACTGCAAGGAGATCAAAACCAGTCAGTCCTAAAGGAAATCAACTTTGAATATTCATAGGGAGCAGTGATGCTGAAGCTGAAGCTCCAATACTTTGGCTACCTGATGCAAAGAGCTGACTCACTGGAAGAGATCCTAATGCTGGGAAAGATTCAGGGCAAAAGGAAAAGGGGGCAACAGAGGGTGAGATGGTTAGGTAGCATCACCGACTCAATGAATGTGAGTTTGAGCAAACTCAGGAAGACAGTGAAGGACAGGGAAGCCTGGTGTGCTGCATTTCATGGGGTCGCAAGGAGTCAGTCATGACTGAGCAACTGAACAACAAGAAGCTTTTGTTAGAATAATGACAGCACCCACTATAACCTGGGCTGGTGCCTGAGCATATTCATTTCACAGGAGGGAAGGTGCCCCTACCCCAATCTACTTTCTTATTCAGTGAGGATGCTACCAAGCCTTCATGAATGAGGGACATACACACTTGTAAGCAGATGAATTTACACTGAGCTTTTCATGCTGTTGGCAGCAATGGCTTCCCAGACTGCAAGTACAGGTGAGGATATTAACTGGCCCCTGGAAGGGGCCCATGACCACAAGGGCATTGACGGGAAAGCACTCTCAAAGCTTCAAGAGAATTCCAAGCACCAGGTAGAGCTCTGCGATTTTCCAGGCCATAGGTGGACATGTTAGGAAGCCTGGTTGATTCACAACTGGCACCTAAAAGTTCACTTTCTCCTGCAGGCAGGCCTGGGAAATACTGAGGGGCCGCCTAAAAGCATGCTATATTCTCGCGTCTTATCAAGGCTCCGTGGCAATGCAAGTAGGTGAAAGGCTGTGTGGAAGTGGGTAAGAAACAAATACCCTTGGGCACTAGAAAAATCACTCTTCAGGGAGTTTAATAGGATCAGGCAGCTGCTGCACATTTACTGTGCAGACTCTCCAGGAACTTTTTCAAATGAAGAGTCTTCCTCCGCAAGGTGTAGGTTTGTGAAGGCACCATGGAGCACTCACGGATGCTTGGGCAGGAGTGCCGGGTCTATGTTCAGGAGTGCAGGCCCAGATTGGTCATCATTCAGCATCCTTGGTCTGATCCTTCCCTTTCTCTGTACCTTTCTTCCTCCCATCAGTGAAATATGAATTGTAACCATTGCATAGAAGCTTTGAGGATCTGGGAAGAAATGGCAAAGGATTCTACACTTCTCAGAAAGGATATAAATATAAATATAAATCATCATAAACATAAATCATCCTACTGCTTTGAATGAGTAATGGTGGTGTTGTTATTTAGCTGCTCAGTCATGTCCAACTCTTTTGTGACCCCATGGACTGTAGCCCACCAGGCTCCTCCATCCATGGGATTTCTCAAGCAAGAATACAGGAGTGGGTTGCCTTTTCCTTCTCCAGGGGATCTTCCTGACCCAGGGACCAAACCTGTGTCTTCTGCATCACAGGCAGATTCTTTGCTGCTGAACCAACAGGGAAGCCCCAAATGAGTAATAGTGTGGCATAAATACAACTCCATGGAAACAGGACAGCACATCAAATTCTGAACTAACTCAGTACCCAAGGAGAGCTCCCTGTTGTGGGAATTACTTCATGAATGGATGAATCCTTTCAAAATATAATCATTCCCTCTTATATTGGCTCTGTTATACTGGCTTATAATTTGGCACTCTGCTTATCCTTAAAGAGAGGCAGATGGGTTGCACGTTGTATGAGGACTTGAATTTGCAGACTATTGCAGGAACACAGCGTGCTGTAGGTCCATGTGCTTTGGTGGTTAAATGCTCGGAATCTGACATCAAATAGATCCAGGCTCAAACTTCAGTTCTATCTTGCTCTAGATGAGCTTCAGTTCTCATGTGTGTAAAATGCAAATAATATCTACCACATAGGGCTGTTGCGAGGATTATAATGCCAGAAAAGCACTTCAGAGAGTGTCCAGCCCACAGTAAATGCCCTGCAAATGACAGCAGGAGGTATCACCGACAGATTGTGAAGAGACCACCATCATTCTCTGTTTCTGTCTCTCTTACATACATACACACACACACACACACACACACACACACACAACCAAGCAAGAAAACTGATGCCTAAAGGCATTTTAGGAACCTGCTAATGTCTGCTGGGGATTTCAAGCTAGAGCTTCCTCCTCCCTTTTGTCATGCTCTATCCTCTAGGTCTGAGTGGAGATGCTCAGAAAGAAGGCAACAACCCCAAGTAACCTGGGCACCATCCTGTGTCCGGAAAAAGCTTTAACCCACCTGAAGTCTTTTCCCGCTGCTCATGAATGATGCTGACCTAGCTTTGAAAACTGAGCCCATCTGACCTAAGCAGGACTGGGGCCTTGTAGAAGAGCCTTAAGAAGGGCTGTGCTGATCCCTCAGTGCCTGTGTCTCACTGGTTGTAAAATATTTCAATATTAACCTGTGTAAGAACAGGTTTCCAGAGTCCACAGAGGAATGACTTACCCTTAATAAGGTCACAAAGTCCAACCCAACAGGTAAAGCTGTCTCACCATCTTTGCAACCCCTTAGATCTTCTGTTCTTGACTCAAACTCACAATCCTACTCTCTTGCTCATTCCCACTTCCCATCCTAGAAAACCTATCTGTTCAGCTACAGCCCTTTGGAGAAGCTAGGGTCCGGGGGTGCTTTGGTGCCACTATTTCCAGCTCTGCTTGACAACAGGCCAGGGGGTCTCATCGCCAGGTACACAGTGAGCCCTCACCAAGGAGGGGCATATGAGAAACTCAGGCCACAGCTGGAAGCATCAGGAATTAGTCTTGTTGCCCCAAGGTCTACAAACCCCAACCCTCCTCTAACCAAAACCTTGACTGCTAGGCCCTAGCTAGCTTTCTGCCTTTGTTTCCTCAGAATATTTCCATCACAAGGTTAGGACTGAGTTCAGTTTTGACTAGCCTTTGCCCCTAGGGCCCTACCTCACCCCCACCAGGCACATACAGGGCCCTGGCTCTTGTCAATTCTCTTTCCTCAACATTAGACCTTGATTTCAGACTCTGGCTGGCTCTATGTCTTGCTTTGGCTTCTGCCAAAAGCTGACCCTGGCAGGAACACCTGGGGGAAGACTGTTCGGGGGCTATCTAAAGAAACACAGTGAGAGAGTAAGACAAGGTGGCAAGAAGAGAAGGGACTAACTTCCAGATAAACTTCCATTAGAACAAGTTCTGCTGCTTAAAAAGAGGTTTAACTGGACCTTACCTGGTGGTCCAGCGGTTAGGAATCCACCTTCCAATGCAGGGGATGCAGGTTCGATCCCTGGTCGGGGAACTAAGATCCCACACGCCACGGGCAATGAAGCCCTCACACCACAACTACTAAGCCCACACCCTCTAGAGCCTGCCTGTCACAATGAACGATGCTGCATACCGCAACTAAGATCCCGCATGGCCAAAAATAAAATAAATAAACAACAAAATAAAATAACAGAGGTTTAATAACCGGGACTAGAGGATCTCTTGAGAGTTTTTTAAATTTGGCTTTTGTTTACCTCCCAGCTCTGAAAGTCTATAGCTCTTCAACAGAGAGCTGCAGAGCACAAGGTTTTGGTGACTGGGTGCTAAATTATCCCATTAGGGTTGGAAATAGTTCCTAAATCACACCCAGGAGTGCCTGAAGCAAAGGCCCAAACGTAGCTGGCACCAGCGATTTTCAGCTCGGAAAAAGCTAGTCACAGAAATGTAAGACTCACTGAGTCCTACCCATCAGAGATGATACACAGTGAAGGAGGCATTCAGCTCTCCCCCACCCGCTTCCCTGTCCCTCTTTCCTTCTCCTCTGAAGGTTTTGGCTGATGACAGAAATCAGGCTGGTGCTGATTCTCAAGTTGCAAATTTTTCTTCGTTGATAATATATAATTTTCCTTCATTTCTATTCAGTAATTCTTTGGAATACACTTTAGGACATGCAAAATGAGAAAGGAAGATGAAATTGTGAGATGTTAAAACTATCTTGGAAAAGATATTTCTCACCCTTTCTCGCTCTGGGCATGACTTTGAGGTTGGGTAAATTTTCTTGATTCTTAAGAAAATACATTATAAAAGCATGTGTGAGGGAGTTCTCTAAACTATCAAAATATTTACCTTAAAATTTAAAATATTTAGTGTGTTCACCTTCTCAAACATGTTTATACCTACAGTACTGTTATATCCCATGACACAGCCATATTTCCTGAGAAAAAAAGCAGCCTCAGAGACTATGTGGGAAATACATTTTTCATTCTTTGGAAATACTTCACCACTGGCAGATAAAATGATGTTAGAGGAGTTTGTTCATTTTGACTGTGCATAAGAAGATAAACCTGTTCTTTCCTGATTACCAACAAAGGAAAATAAATGAAACTTCTAATTGGATATCTAAACAAATTAAATTCTTAAAGCAGACTGTAAATACTTTGTGTAAGCAACAGCTTACCCAGCTTGAGAGACCAAAGGAACATTTCATGCAAAGACAGGCACAATAAAGGACAGAAATGGTATGGACCTAACAGAAGCAGAAGATATTAAGAAGAGGTGGCAAGAATACACAGAAGAACTATACAAAAAACGTCTTAATGACCTGGATAACCATGATATGGTCACTCACCTAGAGCTGGACATCCTGGAGTGTGAAGTCAAGTGGGCCTTAGGAAGCACCACTATGAACAAAGCTAATGGAGGTGATAGAATACCAGCTGAGCTATTTCAAATCCTAAAAGATGATGCTGTGAAAGTGCTGCACTCAATATGTCAACAAATTTGGAAAACTCAACAACAGCCACAGGACTGGAAAAGGTCAGTTTTCATTCCAGTCCCAAAAAAGGGCAATGCCAAAGAATGTTCTAAGTACCGTACAGTTGCACTCATTTTGCATGCTAGTAAAGTTATGTTCAAAATCCTTCAAGCTAGGCTTCAACAGTATGTGAACCAAGAACTGTCAGATGTACAAGCCAGATTTAGAAAAGGCAGAGGAACCAGAGATCAAATTACCAACATTCATTGGATCATAGAGAAAGCAAGGGAATTCCAGGAAAACATGCACTTCTGCTCCATTGACTATGCAAAAGCCTTTTGACTGTGTGGATCATAACAAACTGTGGAAAATTCTTAAAGAGATAAGAATACCAGACCATCTTACCTGTCTCCTAAGGAACCTACATGTGGGTCAAGAAGCAATAGTTAGAACCTTACATGGAGCAAATGACTGATTCAAAATTGGGAAAGGAGTAAGACATGGCTGTATATACTGTCACCTTGTTTAACTTATATGCAGAGTATATCATGCGAAATATCAAGCTGGATGAGTCACAAGCTGGAATCAAGACTGCTGGAAGAAATATCAACAACCTCAGCTATGTAGATGATACCACTCTAATGGCAGAAAGTGAAGAGGAATTAAAAAGTCTCTTGATGAGGGTGAAAGAGGAGAATAAAAAAGCTGGTTTAAAGGCCTAACATTCAAAACACTAAGATCATGGCATCCCATCACATAATGGCAAATAGATGGGGTAACAATGAAAAGAGTGGCAGATTTTCTTTTGAGGGGCTCCAAAATCACTGGAGATGGTGACTGCAGCCCATGAAGTTAAAAGACACTTGCTCCTTGGGAAGAAAGCTATGACAAACCTAGACAGTATATTAAAAAGCAGAGACATCACTTTGCCAACAAAGGTCTTTCTAGTCAAAGCTATGCTTTTTCCAGTAGTCATATACACATGTGAGAGCTGAACCATAAATAAGGTTGAGCACCAAAGAATTGATGCATTTGACTTGTGGTGCTGGAGAAGACTCTTAAAAGTCCCTCAAGAGGGACAGAGTGAACGTCGCTCAGTAGTGTCCAACTTTGCAACCCCATGGACTGTAGCTGCCAGACTCCTCTGTCCATGGAATTCTCCAGGCCAGAATACTAGAGCGGGTAGCTGTTCCCTTCTCCAGGGGATCTTCCAAACCCAGGGATCGAACCCAGGTCTCTGGCATTGCAGGTGGATTCTTAACCATCTGAGCTATCAGGGAAGCCCTGGACAGCAAGGAGATCAAACCAGTCAATCCTAAAGGAAATCAACCCTGAATATTCAATGGAAAGACTGTTGCTGAAGCTGTAGCTCCAATACTTTGGCAACCTGATGCGAAGAGCTGAATCACTGGGAAAGACACTGATGCTGGGAAAGACTGAGGGCAAGAGGAGAAAGGTGCAATAGAAGATGAGATGGTTGGATAGCATCACCAGTTCAAGCGACATAAGTCTGAGCAAACTTTAGGAGACAGTGAAGGACATGGAAGACTGGTGTGCTGAAGTACATGGGGTTGCAAAGAGTTGGACAGAACTCAGCGACTGAACAACAAAGCAGCAGCTAAAACTTGTGAAGAGTGAAATCTGGGCAATACTAATTCCAGTCATCTATTCAACAGTACCAGGGGTCTTCTATGTACCAGCATTGCTGGGGACATGATAGTGAATGAATCTCCAAGGTGCCTCCAAATGTTGAAATATTAGTCCCATCTTTTTTGAACTTGGCATATATATTGGAAAGATGCTTCCATTTTTAAATCTCTGTCTGCTGCTCTGATAAATAATGTTCTCCCAAGTCCCCAAAAGGAGAATTAATCTGGTGAGACAAATCAGTTGTTGTTCCACTCATTGTTATGGTAATAGAGAAATTAGGTTTTTAATTAAGGCTGAGGGAGGATGGAAGAGCAGTCGGCAAACAAACACCCACACGGTTTGATGCAGAAGGGGCATGACGGACAATTCTCCTTCCTCGTTAGAGCAGAAGGCATTTTATCTATGAGGCCCCAGCTACGTGCATTTTCTGTCTTGTAAATACATCAGCACCCACCAACTTTGCATGAGGATTTAGTATGAGCCACTTTAGGGGAATACACTGCAGATATCAGGTTTGAAAATGAGTTAGCTAAAGTTTCAAGAAGGTAAGCAACACGCTCCAGGTCACGCAAATGTGGGATGGTGTGAGGATTCAAATTCAGGCAGTTTGATTTCAGGATACTCTGACCTTTTGAGCTGTATTGACTTTTTAAAATTTTTACTTTTACCTTAGTTCCCTAACAAAGGATTGAACCCACACCACCTGCATTGGAAGCACGAAGTCTTAACCACTGAACCACCAGAGAAGTCCCTGTGTTGACTTTTAATACGTAAAAAAGAGGTCTTGAAGTATCCAGTACGTTTATCACCCATATTTATTTTTTGTAACCACCATGCTATTTTAAATTACAGAAGGAAAGCATGTTAATTGGAAGAAGGAAAGGAAGGAGAAGAGCAAGAAATAAGGTGAGAAGGACAGGAAAATACAAATATCTGCTATATTTCTACTATTCGTAGACTGGGCACACTCAGTGGGGATGGTATGGCCCCTAAGGAGTCAAAACTTGGTCCTAGTGGGGAGAAAAACTCACTCTTTACATATATAAAGTACAGACGGTCATACAATGCATAACCAGCTAGACATACACTATATCTGTGATGCTAAAATCTCATTTGAGGGCAAAATTTGGGGGGAAAAGGCTTGGAGGAGGTGTGATAATTTTTTTAAAAGCTAAGCATACTGACACAGATATCAATTTTAACATATTAGTAGCCATCTGTACAGATTTTTCTACCTACACTGTTTTCTTTTTACAAAAATGGGATTATGTGTACATACTATGCCTTTCCATGTCAATAAAAACTCCTTCATAATAATATATCATTAACAATGCACTTCAATTATATATTATTTGATCCTTACAATAACTTGTGAAGATAGATATGTTTATTTTTGTGTCCATTTTACAATTGAAGACACTGAAGTTTAAGGAGGTGAATTAACTCACCTCGAAGTCTCTTAGCCAGTATGAACAGCAGAGCCCAGATTTGAATCCTATTTCTTAAGAACTTTGGGTTTATCTTGCTATTTTTTTCTAGCCCCTTGAATAGAAAGCTTAGTTCATTCCTTTTTCATCTTTTTTAGCTTTCTGATAAAAGCTATAAATTTTCCTGTAATGTCACTTAGCTTTTATCACAAGGTTTATACCATTTCTCCATCAGACAGATACAAGAAGATCTTCCCTATCCTTGTAAACATGTAACAAGTTTCCAATGAAATACT